GATCTCTTCATATTTACCGATTGCTAATGAATGGATATTGGTTTATTGGTTTATATGTGGTTGAGTTGCTCACTCGGTTTGGCACAATTGATAGGTCACTTCTTGAAAGAGGCGTTCACTCAGGTCCCACCACACCTCAAAATGAATATGTATCCAAAAAGTAATGTCAGAACTCTTTTTCTTCGAATCCTGTAGATATCGATATCTATATATAATCGTTCTTGAAATCTGACACGTTTCGTTTGTTCAAGTTCCTCAGAATGAATACAAGTAAAATGGTACACATTCCACCTTCATTCTTCGCAGCGAGCATCGACATATTTAATCATTTCCAACTGAGGAATCTTGTGCCATGATTACTTACTCGGCGAATATCCTATCTTCAAAAAGGCTCAAACGGCATCCCAAGTCGTAAGTCCAACCTATAAGGCTGACCCTGTATGCATGGAGTACCAGGTATTTCCACAACCCTGTAAGATTTGATTGGACAACTTATCCGGGTTCCGGCTTAGGTGGAAGTCCCGTGCCGATTGTGTGTCTTGGTGGAGAAAGGGCTGGATGAGTGTGACGTAAACTTGTTCCTCTATCATGGGTCTCAGGAAGCAACTTTGTTCTTTTGATCAGTTTGGTTGAGGGAAGAACAATTGATGGGGTTGGAGATAGCATCACGGGATGAAGTAGACAAGGGTGTTATTGGCAAAGAAGGGTCTGAGGCATTTAGTCGCAACAAATATATCTAGGCAGTAGCCTTTAGAATGCGGTATTTTGGGTGCGAAATACCTCACTTCTATGCCCAATTATGTGAAGGTATGAACTGTTCTGCGAATGCATTGCTCGAACACATTTTTTGTTTGGAATAGGTAGGGACGAGTCTTTCAAGCGACAGAATTTGAATTTAAGAGTGAGCGGACTCAGTACACGAAGAGAGAGATTGACAAAAGCGGTTCTTTAAAATCGACTGAAGGGGCATCATCCGAAAGAAGTCAAGATCGCTAGAGTCTGGTAGTTATGGAAGATTCTTGACATCAATATGGCTAGGTATAGCAGGATAACTCTGAGGGGGAAGATGTCAGAAGGAATGAAGTGAATGAACATAAATCATGCTCCGCTTGTCAAATATGCAAACCTCACGCTGTCAACATTGTTCCAGCCACTCTCCAAACCATCGATCACTAAGATCATATATATGAGATGAAGAGCAGAAAGCTCAGCAGGAAATGCATAGCGTCAAACATCATTGAGAGCCCGTCTCATTTTACTGTAGATGATAGATATCATAAATGCATGTCTTGCATAAATGTCCTGTACGCACTTTCATCAAAACTCAGAAGAGATTGCTGGCCGTGAGTCCCAAAAAATGATAACGACATACCATAATATCCTCATGTCGAACTTGTACGCTATATGAGCTGCAACCAAAAGCTTAGTTTCGGAACCTATTCAAAGACACGGCGACGATTTAGAATATATTCTACATCGCTGCTTCAGCTAAAAATCAGCTGGAAGGGAGAAGTATAGTACATGCTCCACTGGAAGTCATCAAGTGTTCATTATACATCCTATATATTGGATAATAACTCCCAAATAGCATGACCCCGCTTCTCGGTTTTTACTCCAACTTCATCTACAACAATATATATCAAATTCTATTCATCACTCTTGAAGTGCATACCTAGTGTGTACTATAATGTCCCTCTTGATGAGAATCTAAAAGTCCTGGTGTGAGTACACACCCCGTGTATCCCAAAGTCACCATGCAAAAGCTCCAGAGTTTTCCACAGATGTCGAGATTTATTAGTGAGTCTTTCGGCCACCGAAGGTAGAGATTCAATTTGTAGAGTAGTAAAGCTTGATCATCATCCTAAACTATGCCTTTAGTACACTTTCGCAATTGATTATCCTATTCCTCATCTATTCATCCATTATCCATGACTCTTTCAGCCTCAGTTCATCACCGCCAAGCTTCACACCTCACTGCACAGCACCGCACCACCCTAAAAGATATTCCTCCATCCATGCTATGGTTTGCCAATAAAACAAGTCCCATTTGGTTCCAAAACAGCCAGTCTAAATTAACCAATCCACATCACCCAATGCACCACAATTTACCACCCCAGATGGTAGTCTTCCGATGTAACAAAGCATCCAAAACCTACGCTCAATCAAGAGCATTGCGATCAGCAAACGGGTCATTTTCATCCTCCTCCTCTTCTTCGTCCTCTGATTCCTGTGCTCTCGGGTGAGTCGTTTGAACAGGAGTAGGTGGTGCAGGACGATGAGCCGGTTTGGTTGGACTATGTGGGCCTGTGAGTGGGCCTGTACCGAGTGTAAGATCATGTAATTGTTGTGTTGTTGAATCACTAGCTCTACGCCCTGCCTTACGTTCTGCATTATTAATTTCCGCCACTGTATGATGTTAGTACGTGCTTAAATGCGACAATTCAATGTTTTCATTATTCTCAAAAATCGAAGGTAATCTCGAGGATGAATACACATACTTTTGTAGAGATGAGCTTGCTCGGCCATTTCGTCGTCAGAGTCACTGTCTGCGTCAATCGATCTATCCAATTGTTCGAATGTCATTAAGGCATTGACCAATCCATCGTTTGCGTGAAGAAGCCCTCCAAGCCATTCCTCGGCCTCTACATGTTGGATCTGAAAAATTGGTTAGCAAATTCAAGTATGTATTGACCAGGTGTTACCACAGTGCGGATTGCAGTCTGACAATCAGAGAGATTCAATTTTCCAATACTATTGGATCATTGGAAGTCTACATCTAATCTACTGGCATGGTCTACTGGACACACTGATCTTGACTTCGAACTTACATATCGAAGAATCTTCCTTCGTAGCAGTTTACAGGTATCAAAATATTGCGAGGCTGTTTTATTTTCAGAAATTCGCTCCTTCTCTCGATCGATATGTCTCAATGCGTTCAAAAGATTGGTAGATGCAACAGTTGATTCCGCGATAGCAGCCTTCATTGCTTCTTTCTCGGCTTCTAGGTTGAAAGGCTTGTGTTTCTTCTTCTTATCCTTCTTATCGTCTTTTTTGACCTTCTTAGCAGATCCAGACATAATTGAGGATGCCCGCTCTCTGGTACTAGCAGATGCAGTTGTTAAAGAGCTTTGTCTTGAGTGAGAAGGTCCAGCTTTAGAGGGAGCTGGTTTAGAAGAAACAGGTGTAGATGGCTCTTCAAGCTCGTCATCCTGGAAGGGATTTTCCTCTGTTTCACGGAGAACTTTCGATCTATCTTGCGTGACAACCTTCCTTGTATCAGGTAGTGCCTTGAAGTGCGTTAGTAAGTGGTATAACAACATGCAGATGATACATACATGAAGGAGATTGACGACGTCTTCCATCCCAGAAACTTTCTTATATTTAATTGCCCAGCCTCGAAATAGCTCCCTGCATTTAGCTTTCACCGCAGGGTCTGAAGTGCTTGAAACACCACAGACACGTAGACGTTCGAGGAAAGCATCATCGGAGGCAAAAACGTGTTCAAACTTTGGGCCGGCATTCTGAACAAGGCCATCCAAAATTTCCAAAGCTCGAAGCTGACGTTGTACGTTACCATATTTGAGCTTCTTTCGAAGAGCTCTAGTGGCTTCTCTAGGGCCGGTAGCTTGAAGCTTGATAACATCTACCAAATCTGGAATACCGCCATAGGCACCGTCCTCGTTTTCTTCACTAGTGAGACGTTCGATAGCGACGGTAACTGCTGAATATGGTTTCTTCTGTTTACGACGAACATATATTAGTTCTTCTGTCTTTGTTGTTTTCTGTCTGCCAAAAAGAAGATTTCCCACATGACCTCTATGGAAATAGTCGGATTGAGGTTCTGAAGGAATGTATGATGCAGTGTAAGATCTTGCATGGCGACGTTGAAGTTTTCTCTTGGCAGACCTACTACCATGCTCGCCATGACAGGAGGACATCAGTCATAAATCTCACAAATCACGAATATGTCTCCATAATCTCATGATGTGAGTTGATAAGAATGGGGCAATTCCGGATGTAATTAAGAGGAATGAAGAAAGTCAAGAACCAAAAGTAGAGAATGGCTATGGAGTACTGACCGAAGAAAACATATTTGCCTACCCGTATCTCAGGAGCCTTGACTACGAAAGGGATTGGCTTCGCTACAAGCTTCTTCCGAAATGTCTAACAAGAGACCAATAGTACGAGTGCAGGAAGGACGAACAAATATATCGGGATAACCAAGAATAAGTGGATGCAGACTGTATTGATTTGATGGGATTCAAAAATGTATGTAGTGTGAGTTGTCGAGAAAGGAACTTATCAGATTTTAATGTCAAATGCTCTCCTGCCACGTCTTAAAGTGGAAGGTGGGGGGAGGGGGATTTGGGTTTGTGTTGGATGATCTGTGAATGTTTCTTTTGGTGATATCTGACTGATTTCCTCTCTCTGTACAGAAGTAGCTAGTGTATCTAGTACGGTATATCGATATCAGTGAGATAAAAACATTCAATAATGAGTCGACGATAAGTAGTGAACCAGTAGATATGAATATTGAGTGAGTGCTGATTTAGATTACTCAGACGAGATCAAAGTATTTCTTGGTTTTGGTTATGTTTTAAGTGAAGCATGTGATGTACGGAGTGTGTAAAGGGATTGAAAGAAGACTAGTAAAGCGGGGCGGGACGGCTCTTTAGTGTCCGAGGTACCCACTTTAATGGCATATGAGCCTTAGGCTCTGTACACCCGTTTTGAAGCTTCTCTTGGTCAAACTTCAATCGCCAGGGCTTCTATCTGCAACTTTCAACTACACAGGATCGATTGTTGGTTCTTGTCCGTGCTTTCGAGACATTTATCTTACCGTCTGAACTCAACATATGAATACTCAGTTCAGTTGTTCGCCAATATTCAATTGATGACGTAAAAACGGAGGGGAGATTGATGAAGGAGGGGCATGACGGGGGTGTTGCGACAAGTGATGGATTGAGGAAGAGTTGGTGGTGAATTGAAATATGGTCAAGATGGCGCAGTATCAGGGCTTGAATCAAGAGGACTTGGAAGGAGAAGGAAGAACTCAAGGAAATCTTTCACACATGTTTGTTTGGAGTTTGCCATAATTCAATTCTGTCATACTAATACTTTATCAACAAACAGTGCTTCAGAAACAGCGATGCGCCCATATCTATCCTTCACTCCAATCAATCTTAATCGTTCAAAAAGTCTAAACCCAATATCACCTTTGACACGAACAATCAATCCATTGAGAACTTTGCGCAACACAGATGTCTACGACCTACCAGATGATGCCCCGAGTCCTCCCACTCCAGGTGGTAAAAAGCGACGAACTCCACGCTCGAAGAATGGCCCCACGAAAGTCTTACCCAATGCCCAATCGCATACAAACACTACCGTTGAAGCTTGTGACACTGAACTATTTGAGGTAGCATCGCCGAAGAGGAGGAAAATTCCTACGAAAGGAGCGCAACCAGAATTCAAGGTCCCTTCTAGAGTAAAAACAATACCTGCTCATCAAGATCTTGAGCAACCATCCAACGAATTAGGCGACAGGCCTTCTGTTTCTCAATTGGTAACACCACCTGATACTCATAAGAGATCTAAGAAGCGAGCGCTTTCTGCCACAGTTACCAAGCGGAAGAAATCTTCAGAGTTGTTTCAGAACTCAACAGTTACCAAACCAGCATTGTCTCGCTTCATCTCAAAGTCTTTAGGAAAACAACCACAATCCATCAATCGACTACAAGGTTTTACAACAACTGAGGAACAGATGAAACTCAATTCAAATGGGATTGCGAACACAACTTTACGGAAATTAGCAACTTTTAGATATGTGCCTCGCGATGAGAATCCATTGGCAAACCAATCGATCACTGCGAGCAAAAGAGAGGAGATTCATGTTACACTGGATAAGTATCGTGATGGACATGCTTTTGAAGAGTCACATCATACCTCATCAGACTATGCGCATATATCGAGCGTCTCATTTTTCGAAGAGGCTTTGTGGATCCCAAAACAATCTTTTGATACCAATGAGCCTGACACTATTCGTATTAACCAACCTCAAACCCATCCCTTTTCTGAAAATCTATTGGCCTCTGACACGCAGCAGAAGGTATTCCAAATTGAGTACTCGCTAAGCCAATCTTGTGGCCCTCTCACCTTTGGTGAAGGAATACTGGCGAATGCTCTTGAAAAAAACACCAATAATGATGTTGGCAGGCAGCAGTCGCAACAAGTGCCGCCAACAATCGACAGCAGTGTGACCACTCAGCTTGGAGACATGACTTCCGAGGTGCCAGAATACAATACACATCTTCCAGAAGTTAATGATCAGCTGCCCAACACCGGATTCGAGCAAGAACAAGCACCGAATTCTCGGTCACTGGCACTTATGCCAACAAATAGAGCCGGAACTTATCATAGCGACAATCTATTTGAGCGACTAGTCATTGAAGAAGGCGTGCTAACGAACACAAATCCTCCCCTAGATTGTTTTGATAGCGATAGCTTTGGCGATGATATTGATGATGAAGATTTGTTAGCGTTGCTTGCAGATCCCGCTATTCTCGAGTCTCCCATGAGAGGCGAAGTGATCCAAAGCATCCCAATGCAACCATGTTCACCTTCCATTTCACATATCGTTTCTTCCTTAGGCACGAGAACAACACAATTACACGATCCCGTCACTCTTTCGCAAGAAGTCACTCGCACTACATCTCCACTCATCGTTGCGGATGAGGGTGACGATTTCCCAATGGATACAGATTTGGAAGAAGAATTGTGTCGACTCGCAGGAACAAGTCAAGTTCAAGGTGTTGTAGAATCATTTGAACCACCACCAAGTTTAACCCTTCCGCTTGACGGTGATGATACTGACAGGGAAGTATACGATGATACTCTTCAATTCTCTTCACCCCCGCCCCGAGAATCATTTTCTAAAGGAATGGCGCTGGCCAAATCCACTGATAAATCTAGTCCCTCGAAACCACCAGCGACACAAGAAGATGCAGATTGGAGGTATATTACATCGACAGCTTTGAGGTCGGTCAAAGCTCCAGTCATTCAATCTTCGGAGGCCCTCATCCAACCATTGAAAAACAGACCTCTAAAGAAACTTTCTACACCCGTTCAATCGGTTCAAACCAACATATCAAAAGTGTGGCTTGATGATAGTCATGAATATCTACCCCTCGTACCGTTTGCTCGGCCGAAATTTCCCCAAATAGTTCAAGATCGATGCCCAATCAATGGATTATCCTCCCAAACCGTTCTTCGTGTTTGTTTCCGGATTGGTGAGATGCTTAAAGAAGGGAGTCGATGCAATGCGATGGGTCAAGACGCAATTATAGAGCTCTTTGCCCGTGTTAATTTCTCATCTCGAGAACCTGGTACTACTAAACAGCATTTTCAATTTGCAGACTTATTTCATGATCGACCACCATTTGCTAATGGTGTTCTCGCGAACTTTAAGATGACGGGACTGGCAGAGAGTGAAAGTGGAACTTTCATCGAATCAAGCGAATCGTTGATGGTAAGATGTTTGGGCAGAGTTAAGAAGGACGTGAAAAATGGTTCTTGGCTGTTGCATATCATCAATGTCAGAGTGACGGATTGGGAAGAGACAAGATGGACGAAGAGAATTGTTTGTGGAGAGCGTGAAGAACAAGTCAAAGTAAAGACCACTGCTACCATTACTAACTTGTGAGAGGGGATGACCTGATATAGATATTTGAGGATCCTGCTATCGTTGCTATCATACTACTTACTGTGTATTGTTGCTGATCTAGAAGAGCGCAGACTAACATTTAGAAAGGACTAATCATTGCAGATATGGCATCTTTAATGCTGAAATCTTTAGCTACATTAATGCAATTCTACTTTTTGAAACAAATTTACACACATCGTTCGTATGCATACTAATAAAAGCTTAACGTTGGGACTTGATCAGACCAAAATGCTAGATCAAGTCGAAATGCTTCTGCCTAGAAAGTCCTATTCATCACATGATTTGCATAGCCCTACAGGGCTACGAACCGACCAATCAGAACTTCTCAATTCGTCAAGTGGCAGAAGCCTAGACCCGCATATGCAAGTCTAACTCTTATCGCATTTCATCATCGTTCACCAGCAAATAACATTCCATCCCATTATTGTGGCAGTGTTGCAAGCTTGCAAGCCGAGTTTGGATGACGCGGCGAAATTTCATAAGAGAGAATTCCTTTTATTATATGTGTGGTTTTCCCTTGGGTTCTAGGCAGAAAGAAGTGAGATCTTGAAATTTGGAAGCTTTTTGTTCAATTTCATAGTTTGTCGATTGAAATACGCGGAAGGGGATACGTACGCTTTCTTGTTCCCGTCAAGTCTATTTGCAAACGCTTCGGGTTTGATCCACATTTTTCAGGTACAGGTACGCGGATAGAAATAGAGTTTGGGTATACGGAAGAGATTCTGACTCCGGATTTTCGGAAGTGTCGAAGATGAATCGCTCGCGTTATGAAGCTGTGAGTTTCTTTTCCTTTGGTTTCATTGGGATTGGAAGTGCAATGCGCAATGGGAGGGGATGAGGATTGCGTGACTCGGAGGGGTATGGAGATTGGAGATTGAGGATTGGAAACTTCTACTTCTGTATTGAGCTTCGTAATGCTTGATTGGAGTTGCTATGTATGCATCGAGTGTCAAGTAGATAGGGGAGGCTGTCGTTTGTTTATTGGTGAATATTGCTATTCGTCGCCTTGCTTCTACTATTCTCATTCTTAGCCACTTTTCTCCACCTTTTCATTACGTCCGCAAGACACCGCACCTTACGTTCCACCCTTCAGACACATTCATGGTCACATATCTCATCATCTTTCTATCTCCATCCCTAAGCAAAGCCCACCAATCAACTAACCTCCCCCATCTAGCTCCCCCGCACCTCTTCTCCCTCCTCAAATCCCCCGATCCTTCTCGACCCAATTTTTCAAAGTCACCCCTCCTACAACTACAACTCCGGCACTCCTACATCTGTTCCCTCATCCGCCCTTTCAAGCCATCGAACATCTATCACTAGTATCTCATCCCGTACCCCACCGCCTAGCTTTCACAGTAGTCAAGTTGCGCATCTGAATAGTCAAGGATCTTCGCAATTTCCCTCCAGCAACACATATGGAAACGCAACAGGAGGAGTAAGCGGAGTAGGCGCAGCAGGGACTACACCATTCCCTCCTTTCAACAATTCATATGCTACGAATTATCCAGACTCCGCACCACCATCTTTTCATTCCCGCTCTAGTACCCCGCGTCCAACGCCGAGTACGAGGACGTTGGCAAGTAATGTTAGTGGGGTTAGCGGTGTAAGTGGAGGAAGTGGAGTAGATCTTTGGGGCGTAGCGACTACTACTTCTGGAGGCGATGAAGCGGGGGAAGATAGAGAGGGGACGGGGGGGCTAATGATGGTGAAAGGATTGGAGAGGAGAATGGAGAGGTTGGAGGAGAGTATCGGGAGGTTGCTTGTAAGTTTATCCTTCCCCCTACTTTCCATCTTGGAGGAGAGGACGATAAATAACCAGAACAGAGAGAAAAAAAATCAAGCTAACGATACAACGCAGTTGGAAAATGAAGAACTTCGCATATTAAGAGCAGCTGGTACAGGTATCAATGCAGGGGGCGAGAATCAAAGAAACAGACAGAATTGCTGTGTTGTATTCACCGATGCATCGAGAGATATGGAGGAGGCGTTGATTATGAATGGTATTTCTCTCCTTTATTACCTCTCATCCTATCTCCCATCTCTTACACAACAACTAAAAAATTCAAGGCCACAATAACTGCTGCGTGCGTTTTACCTCCTCCACAAACTCATCAGATAGAAAGTTGCAGCGTAAGAAAGAATTGCTTATGGCGATTGCGTTTATGACGTTGTTAGTGACGGTTTTTGTGCTGATGGTTAATGGGTATGCGAGGGAGGCGAGCGGGGAAAGGGAAAGGGAGGTAGGGGGTTATGAGGAGAAGAGGGATTAGGTGAGGGTTAGCATTGGAGAAGATAATGTGATGGTGCAGTGAATTATGATGAGACTTCATAGAGTGACTGAAACTCCGGGGGTATAGAGAAGAAGAGGGGGTCTAATGACGGAATGATAGACGGGATGGGTAACAGTATGGATAAATGGGATGAAGGGACGATATACGACTCCGTCTTCTTGATTTTGTATTTCTTCATAACTCGGCTGAGCAAATACACTGGAGGTGATCTGAGATAGATCTGGGATAGATAGTGGGTTTTGATTCTATACTATGGCACAATAATATTTTCCCCTTCTTATACATGATACTTCAATACTAACTAGGTAGATGTCGTGATTGTATTTATACTTTGATTTCTCTATGGGTATTTGCAAAAACTCATACATAAATGCATCTATACATCCATCTATTTCCCCCCTCTTCTTTTATCATACTTTGCTTCATCATTTCTTTTCCTAATCTATGAAAAGTTAGCTTTACCATCGTGAAATCCCGTCAAAATGAAATAATACTCACTATCAACAAGTCCCGGCCATTGCTCCTTCAAAAACTCGACAACAGCATCAGGACCCTTTTCGATTTGTAATCCGTGTGGGATGGCCATAGTTTTGATACCTGGTTTGGTGGATTTGGCGATTTCTTGGATCTCGTTTGCTTCTTCGGTGGTCCACATTGAGGCTACGAACTTGGGGAGTGTTAGTGCAGGCTAGGGGGGGGGGAGTCCAGGAGAAGGGGGAGGCTGAAGAGATGGAAGGTGTAGATGGTAAGGGAGTGTGGAAGTTTGGGACTGATGGAGTAAAAGGAGAAAATGCGAGTAATAATACGTACTAAAACATCCGGTTGTTGCTCCTCGACCATGGCTTTCACGTCTTCCATTCCTGTAATGCAGTCAGTATTGTTGCTCAGTTCCCCGATTTAGCTGTTGATGTCTTCACGTGCTTCACTTCTATGCTGAGTGGTCGATTGCTTCCAGATTCACATATGAAGTAAATGAGGATGTGTTTCATGAAACTTGTAGATATGGCACCAGTGAGACTTCATTTGGCCAACGGATGCCTCTTTCAACATCGATCCATAGTTCCAGAGTTTCATATCATCTTCTTTTGCCAATTTTCCTTGCCCGTATGTCTCTTCACAGTGCCACATTCTCACTTCCAATTCCAAAGCCCATGGAAAACATCAGATTAGGAAAGAAGAGACTTTGAATAACACTCACGCTCAGCGTTTTTGACATATTCAATGGTATAGTTCTCCTTAACATCCTCGACAACTCTTCCAATCAAGATCTTTGCCCGAGCTGGTACTTTGTTAACTGTAACGAGCTTGTAGGGTCCTTTTGGTGCCATTTTGAATGTGTGTGATACGAAAGAAGAGGATATAGAATGCGTATGTGTGTTTGTATATTCAATGTTGATGTGATGAATTCAGAAGATGTTCAAAGGTAGAGATATACGAAGCAAGAAAAGCAATTCATACGTACCATACAACCCGAGGTCGGAAAGGAAGTCGGGAGATGGACAATGGTGGACGGTGGGGAGTGTGGGGATTGATTATGGAAGTGGTATGATGAGAATGAGGGGCACGGGAGTGCTTATCGGGGGTTTTTCGGGAGGGGCAATTTATGAGGAGGATTTGTGCAAGATGTGTGGGGACAGGGATTTATTTTTGGATGATGACAATGGCGAGGATGCAGTATCAATCGATGGTACGAACATGTACGAGCATGTACGAACATATACGAACGAGTACAAGAGTTTCGACATCCCACTGACACCTTGAGAAAGCCTCGAGAATCATTTGAAGATGTAAGGAGAGATGTCAACGTACAATACCTCAATCGAACCATGGGGGAAGATCCGTGAATTTGCCGATTGATGAAGGGGTAAAGTTGAGAAGATTTTCTATCGTTGAGAAGAAGACAAACAAACTCTCCCGCAAACCAATTTTTTCAATCTCGCGTCACTGTACTCGTACCTTTGCATTGCATATCCTTTGTGCATGCAAGTTTTTAATATATCTTCGAAAATACATCTGGTACCCCCATCGTGATCAAACCCCCTTCATTGGCCTCTTTGTCATAATTCTAGCCAAGAGCCTGGTTCGACAATGCGTAATCTATGGTCACCGCGGCGTAGTTATTGATGCATAACAGAATGGTTCCGCCAACTCAAATGTATTTACAGTCTTTAATTGATACTCAAAAATTGACTACTCATATATCTATCAATGCTGAGGCTTCCACAAGCTTCGCAAGTCAACGAATGTAGCCACCCATCGGATGTACAACCGGGGTAGTACAATCCACAGTTCACCGATTCTAGTCATTCCAAAGCCTTTCCATCACCCTTATAAGAACTCTAGCTCGCGAACCGGCGAATAGATATATACGACAAACTTTGTTATACGGCGGAAGTTCCACAAATGCACCCACCATTCACCGATTCTGATCATTCTAAAGCTTCTTTACGAATGTCCTTATACGAAACATTCCATCTTGCAAGTCCCCGGATCTCCGAAGCCACGCTTCACTTCCTAGTCAACATGCGAAAGTTACATTGCTCAAGTACACTTTTCATGTATCCTCGTACCCATCCTACCTATCATCATACCATTCAATCCATCAGTCAACATATCCGTATATGACAGGAGGGCCAAGATGAGTTCATTTAATCTGCATAGGGCAAGACATTCTTCATTTCATAGGATTGTAACCATATTCCCTCCGATCCGTACCTCCTTTCCTTAGATCACCTATCGGGCATCATCCTAAATCAAATTCCCGCATCCCCGCAAATTATAAAGGCGGTAAAATGGTGCAGTAGCATCCTCGCCGACAATTAAAGATTCTTGGGTGTTATAGTCGCTTACTCGGGGACCTCAAACCCGGCTACCTATTTCCCGAGAGATCTCGGGAATCTCATTATCTCACTAATATACAACGATCTTTCGAGAAAAAGGTAACTTTCGTCTCTACTTTCCTTTATATTGCTCTGAAACTCTCTATAATTTTGAGAAGTTCCATAATTAACTTCACTCTAGCAATGGAAAGTTTCTGGAAGGATTTTTTTTAGTTCTTTAGAAGAATAGTTCACCACACGGGCTTCTTTGTTAGGGGGAAATATAATCGGCGACCTCATTTTTTTTATAGATGGGGCTGGCTTCTTCCATTTCATGGATGAAGACTTTCAAAGTACCGGTGAGAAAACAAACCTGACTACGGAGCATTCATCAAACAAAGGAAGGTAGGAAGATAGCTATGTACCTCGTAAGTACTAACAAGTAATGAATTAGCGATTATGTACCGTTATAGGTATGTCATTTTCATGCACAAGGTGTACATTATTTCATAGTATTTTTTATATTTGTGGAAAGTTTGCGAAGTTTCTTGCAAGTGGAGGTCATCCTCAGTCTGATAAGATTTGAGTTAATAAAGAATGGATCAAAGAACTTTTCAATCGTATCATGTTGATAGTTAAAGAAGTGAATCATTATCTTCATATGATTATGACAAATCCTTCTAACATGGTCGAGGTATCAAAGTTGCTACTTCCCACATATCAAAATACTAGTACCAAAACTCAAGACGCTATGAAAGACACGATTCAATTTCTTAAATGAACTTAAATTTTAGTTCATGAAGATCATCTCTGTTCCATATACATATAATTCAACTTCCAATCCGTTTCTCTTTCAAGATGGTTCACATTGAGATCCGGAATAAAGAATTCGCCATGATTTCATTTTCAACATCAGGAGCGAAATCAATATTAAGTGGTGCACTTTTTGGTGCAGCACTCACTGCAGCAGGAGTTTATTCTCCTGCTGTGATTATATCGCAGATGAAGTTGGAATCTTTTCATATGCTGAAAGTGTTTCTATCAGCAAGTGCTACTAGCGCGTAAGTTGCCTCTCTTTTTTATATATTTCCAAATTCTTTTGATAGAATGGCCACACTAACACAAGATAGTGCGATATTCCTCCTCGCCCATCGTCTCTCACCAAACATCGCTCCTCCTCGCCAACCCTCTTCCCTATCTCTATTTCCCTACGATGGAAATCTCATCGGAGGTCTCCTCCTCGGTACCGGTATGGCACTCACGGGCGCCTGTCCCGGAACCGTTCTCCCTCAAATCGTAACCGGTTATTCATCCGGACGTTACGCCTTCCTCGGAGGAATCCTCGGCGGAATCATATATTCTTTTATCCGTCCCTTCATACGTTCTTCGAACACTCGTCCCATCGTTCCCGATTCCAAACCAACACTCTATCAAAAACTCGACCCTAAAGCCGATGAAGTAAAAGCAGTTTATATTTATCAAAACTTTTGTTGGGGAATCATTCTTCTTGCTTCGTGGCTTTCAAATTCTCAGGAACAAAGTTTGTTGAGTGCGACGTGGGGAGGCATTGGTATTGGGTGTGCGCAGGGAGCAAGTCTTTGGTTGACGGGGAACACGTTGGGGACTAGTGCTGCGTATGAACAGATTGGAGATCTATTCTGGTGGGCATTAGAGAGATTGAGGAGTGGTGATATTGTTTCTTCTGAAAAGGTTTATGAGAATGGAAATGGAAATGGGAATGGTGTATCGAAGCACCACGCTATCCCTCAACGTAAACCCCGCCCCTCCATCCGCTCAAACCTCTTCACCTTCGGCATCCTCCTCGGCTCCTATATCCTTTCTCACACTTTTACACTACCATCTTCTCTTCCCTCACCTCTCCCCAAATTATCCCTCGACACACCCATCACCTCAGAAATATCAATAATCCATGCACTCTTAGGAGGGATAGCCATGGTCCTCGGCGCACGCATAGCAGGTGGTTGCACGAGCGGACATGGTATTAGTGGAATGAGTCTGTTGAGTGTCAGTAGTGTTATTAGTGTGGGAGCTATGTTTGGCGGTGGCATATTATGGGGCACTGTTGTTGGTTGAAGGCGTTTGAGAGGGAGAGAAGTCAAGGAAAGATTTAAAGAGTGGATGAAAGGATATAATATAATGGTTTTGGGAAATAGACGGGGCTCTGGTATATATTACTGGTAATGGGGACCTTCATCGACTGCTCAAAATGAGCTAGACTTGGACTGGAAATAGTATTGACAGCTACTCGGTAGATTGGTCTGTGGGTGAAGAGAGTAAAGGAGAGGAATGGAACGGAGAAATGAATGGTGGAGTCGTTATACCCAATTTGTTTATTCGCATGCTTACCTTAATTCTTCATTGCATTTTTGCATTCTCACTCACTTTTTTCAATTACTCTTAATTGTGTTTTAGCGATGCGACTAGTTTTTCCAATGACTTTTACGTTTATAACTTAAATGGGAGCAGAAATTAGGCTCTGGTAATTTTGGGGAGGGAGATGAGAGGGAAGTCGGCTTTGAATGTTGCTATTACCGTGTCTAGTATGAATGTATGAACAAAATGGGTATCTAGCGTATATCAGCTAAACATATGAGGTAGTTGATTCATGAAGATGAAGTATTTCAATTTTGAGATTAAAATGCAGGTGATGATTTTGGTATGGAGAAGTCGTTATGTGCAAATGTGATGTAGCATTACCTGATCTTGGATTTTATAATTGAGTACAACATTTACGAATCGGATTAAGTGAGTATATGATCGAGAGCGTGCGAAAGGTAGACACAAGAGAAGGCAAAAAGGGGATAGGGTTAAAGGTAGGAATTTGGTAGCTAAATGAATATTGTGATGTGAATGGGTCTTGGAATCGAATATTCGAGACAAGTTAGAGTTCGGCTAGTGAATCATGTCACGTTCTCATTACGGGCAGAATCACTACATTGTTCACAGAGCAAGCGAGTATTATCATACTAGTAAGGACATACAGAGAAAGACTGCTATCGAAATCGACTGTCCTAAAGCAAGTTTTGTTTTCAAACCCAAATCGAACATCCAAAAAGCAGATCAAACCCCGAACTTCATCCCAAAGCCAAACACTTAAAACAAACCAAACCCTGAACGCCGACTTGAACACCCATAAAGGATTATTGGATCCGCCATTTTATTTTCCTCCGTTTTCCTTATCCCAAACGCCGAAAAGGAAAACCAAATCGCAAAGCAGAATTAAATAAGTCAGGGAATTAAAGGGAGGAAAGAAGGAAACCTGAAGGAACTAAACCGAGAAATCATCAAACTCCCGCAAAACTCCTAAACTCCTATACTCCAAAACAAAAATCCAGTGAACCAAAACTTTATCCGCCGCTCTCGTTATTCCATATCTCAAAGATAAAACATTATATTATTGATATTATGATGCCATGGATTTCCAGCAGCACTGTTCCAGATTGTGGAGTTCTGTCGATACTGAGTGACCGTCGCATTAGTTAGGGTAGTCTCCATTTCTCTGTGCAAAGCAGGATGCATGTAACAGCGGAGGCGAGTGCACAGGATATCTGCATATTTTGCTGGTGTGCAGATCGAGAGACCTTTCGTAGCGCGAGATCCCGTAAAGCAGATAAGGTTTGTCTAGGATGAAGAGTGTCAGCATTCTAGATTAAATGAAAGCGGCATGTGAAGGTGGTTGGTTACTCACGATCGTTTCCAATTGTCCAAGCCCATATCCGATCTCGTCAACAATCAACACATAGTGACCTGTCCTCGCAGTTCCTAGTGCGCTATCATGGCTCTGTAGGTAGAAGTTTGTGCGATTGGGATCGACAACGCCCCTGTCCACTACCGTACCGGAGGGAAGATTTCGACTCGGCTGCTTATTATTGTCCGGGAAGAATCTTGCATGATGCCGCTTTCCTACCACCAGTAGTGTGATCAAGGGGGAAACCTCTCCATATTTTGCGACTAAACTCGCACACGCTGCACGAACTTGTGGAAGTTCTTCTTCGAGTACCATACCGTATTGGGCTTCACCAACGCCATCACGGTAAAAGAGAATGTGGGCAGGAAGATAGCCATTGTACTGATGATAAGCCTCTAGACGCTCCTCGACCATACCTTGGAGGTCTTCGATGAACTTTCGGTTTGGTCAGCAAGAACTTCTTTCAATAGTTAACTATGCATACCTCGGTATTATGGGGCTGCAGACGTGCTGAAGCGAGATAATGCACATAATTGCTATCGCGGGTAGCAACAACACCAGCTTGAGATGGACATGCGTCGTCTTGACCCTTCCCAACATGCGTTACGTCAGCACCCATGATCATCGTTCGGTCTCGTAGCGGTATATTTGCTATTCTATGATTTATTCCTCCTAGCTTAAAGTTGATCTTAAGACTAAGATATGTGGTTAGCCATGATTAAGAAAGGCTATTGTGTACAGGGGGAACCTACGCAATGTTTGCCATTAATCCCAAATCAGGTCTAGCACCTCTATCAACACCATCTGTGCTAACACAAACAGTGGGAATTCCACTGATACAATCGCCCCACCATTTGACATCTGAGTACAGGTCGGCGCCACCCTTCTTGGCATTGGGCAAGAGAACAACGACAAGCGGAGGATCGACCCCTCCACCCCGTTGCTTCAATCTAGCAACTGCACCATCCAAAGTAGCACTGAAAGCTGTGCGCCTCACAGTAGGATTTGCGATTGCTGACATCGGAACACTCTCCATGAAGCTTGCATTATTTCCTGTGGAAAACCCGTAGCGGTGCAGATCCGCGCATAAGACGCGAGCAAAATCCGTCGCTCTTGTCTCGCGTGCCTGATTTCGATGCTTTGTATCAATATAGATCAAATAGAGAACACGATAGGGGTTGCCGATTACAGCAAAGCCTCGACCATTTGCAACATCGTTGAGAGTCCAACTTGCTGGATTGTTCGGAGCAGTTCTCACAGGATTTTCACTACGGAACTTCAGCTGAGGGGGAGCCAGTTGTCGGACTCTATCCAGAGATAGAAAATTGGGTTGAACGTCAAGCCCAAATGCCTGAAATAATTAGCTTAAAACTTATCCTGGATTGGAGATCACTTACATGGTAATGATCAGGTGATGGTAGTAGGCCAGGAGAGGTATAGCAGTGTTTTTAAGACTTGCCTGATTAACTAGAGGTGTCTTGGTTGCCAGACGCAGCATTTGTTGGGTGATTTCTATCCCGGCCTTCTTTCCAGCGGGCTGCCACCAGCAAATTTTTAGCATATCTGCTGGGTACCATATTTGTCTCTGCCCTAGCACGATACTTCCTACATTGACACACCAAGCCTCTGGACTACAACCTTGCTGGTGCCCAGGATATGCTAATCAATACAAGGATTAGCTTTATCGAATGAACGAACAGTGAAATGGAGAGGATGCTAGATTGTAAACTTACTATTCGTCATATGCTGCCAAACAGTGATAGGTCGTCCATTGTCGTCGGTAAAGGTTTTCACGCCGACCGGTTGAGCATCGATACCAGTAACAGTCCATTTCTTCTTAGGAGTTTTTGGATCCCTACAAATGTTACTTTAACACCTCTCAGCTCTCTAATCACATTTGTAGATAGTGGCAACGGCGTTCCGAACTTAGTCGAGATCCACTTCTCAAGCAGACACTGATGAAAAAATGCCGACGTTGTGCAGTTCAAATTGAGAAGCAATTTACCATCCCCAGGGCGCATGGAGCTGAAGAATCCGTCGCAGAGGTCCCAGAGCGGTTTTGGGCCGTTTTGGTGATTATTCGGTGGTAGAACCCTAACCGTAGAGAATGGCGCATTTTCAGGGTAGAACTTGTTTCCCAATCGACCCCCTTGAAAGGTATCCGGAAATATCATCTGCCAAGATACAATGTTCAAAGACTTGAGATCTTCGCCAGGGTGATAGTTCGGGTCTCTTCCAGGAGCCCTGTTTACGAAACGCCTTAACTCGGCAAGGTTGACATTATGTTCGTAGACAAGACTTGTTGACATGGATAACGGAGCTAAAGCTGGGCCCGCAGGGGTGAGCAGGTGACTTTTGGTGATAGTATTGCCTAGAGCATCGCCACAATCAGGGTAAAGTCTTCCAACCGAGATTATGTAGCAAAAGAAATCAGTGGCATAAACTGCAGCTGGAGGATTTGCAACCAACATTTGGTTGATCATAGCTCTCTTCAAGTCAGATTTGACGATGGACCTAGATGTGATATTGCCATCACGGTCACGGTTTGGCATGTTTCCGAATTCTACGCGATACCTTCGAAGGTCAATGGTAGGGTTCGTGATTCTAACTTCAAGAAAGTTCGCCCGAATTTTGCTGTTACCAGAAGCTGGGAGTTGATTATCAGGAGGATATCCGGCCAGGCGAAGACTTGCCTCTGTCCACTTCTCACAATTTTCCTTCCTTATCTCCGCGTCTGTCTTCTCTTCGCTTTGATCTGCAGCTCCTTCATCTGCAGACTGTTGACTTTGTGTTTGACTCTGGGGTCGACCTGAGGCCTGACTTGTCTGACATGATTGACTTGGCTGGCTTGGCAAACTCTTATTGAGTTCAGACAAATTAATGAACGAGCCAGGTGCTGCGGGACTAGGTGCTGAGAGGCTAGGTACTGGAGGATTAGATTTCGTAGAACGGGATGCCGAAGTTTCAATCTCAGATGGGCCGGATTTCGAGGGAGTAGATATCAATGTCATAGACGGCGAGGACTGCGCGTAGCGTCCTTTCTTGAACTTTTGATCGTACTTCTCTCTACACTCTTCCCTCCGAATCTCCGGTCGAGCTTTTTGAACCTGACTTGCAGCTCTGTATTTAGGGAGAGTGAACTGCTCGAGATGAGAGTCAAAACTCTGATCTAACATACACTCACGCTTGTCATGCCATCCATGACCACAATTACTACACGCATTTGCCTTAGATTCCTTGCACTGATGAGGCTCGTGATCTTTTGTGCAGAAGTCACATTGTCGCTCCGCGTCAAATCTCCGGTAGGGATTAATGTCGGGATCCAACGAACAATGTTCAGTTCTTCGATGTTCTGATTTTCCGGCTTTGCACAGGGCACAATTTCGTACGTACAGCTGCATCTTGATATCTGTGTGCGCGAAAATTCCAGCAAAGCAGAATTTGAGAATGAAAAGATCAAAATGGAGAAGTGAAAGGGGCGGATTTGGAATGCGCCTGAACACTAATGATTATCTACTTCTACAGGAAATATTCATGTTCTTATACCGATTTCTTGTGAGAGCCTCTCCACGTTACAACCCTTTTCTTTTGCAAAATCCATATCACATGATTTTCACAGGTTTGATGGCTATTATGTCGATTGGTCTTGTGAATGACATTCAAACCACACGAAGCTGTCACGCCTGTGAGAAGCACCTCACGATACTTCGTGAGATGCGCATTTGCGTCTTATTTCAGTCCCCAGTGGAGTGACTTCATTATCATAAGAGGCTTGGCAAACGTTGCGTTAATGATCTTAAGTAAATATTTCCGCAAGTGCAGATGTCAATTGCGAACATTTGGCAAGACATGGGGTGCTATCAAACTACCTCCAGCAGAAAGCACGTGTTTTTGCAGCAAACTTCGATCATTCGAATAGATACGTGGCTCACGAAACTGACAAAATAGCAAAACTAAGTATTCTCTGAGATACATCTGGTTGATGGGGACAATCTTTGTCGCACAAAGTGACATTTGGACTATCCTAGAATTAGGAGATCAGAAGCATCAGAAAAGAGAAAACGTACAGTCGCGAATCGGGACGTATCTTTGAACGATCTCTCAAGAGCATGTGGTAATTTACAAGGTGTACTCTTGCATCTCCCACCCGATGCGGCAGATCACGTCTTCAGTCAATCATACCTAAAAGAATTTTATGATAATGCGATTGTTACTTTGCGAGATTACTAACGCAAAAAAATGAGGGTATTATGAGGACTGTTGGAGACGGAGGAAGAAATTTTGAGAGGTACAATTGGCTGTCTAGCCGATAGATTGTGTGTACTGCAGTACGCACATGCAAATCCAATCATAATTGGTGCTAATTCTCGTTTAACTTCACTGCAAGAGAGAGAGCCTTGTCCAACGAGCTTACTAGACGTATGGATGAACAAACTATGTTGAAGGCTTGCAGAGTGGTCATTCGTGCAACATATTTTGCTCAACGACCATTAACAAGAACATTCATTGCCTTGAGGTTATTCCCTACTCAGAACCTGGTAACCATGTCAAGCCGATTTACTCCGATCATGGACATATAGTGCACACTACACTTGAACAATAGTGCCAAGCCAACAGGACCATAGGATATCTCATAAGTTCACTCTGAAAATCCCGAAACAAGTTGAGTATCCTCATTGCTATCCATTGAACGAGGTGGAAAACACAAGAAGATGCTCTCACTACCCCTACTATCACTTATATTAGTCACATAAACAGAGTATGAATTTTGAATATCCAATCTCTTCTTACATTCTTAAATTCACCATCGCAGATTGATATTGAAGATGGCAAGAATTGCGGGAATCGGGGATGCCATTTCAGCTAATAGATAAAAATCAAAATTTGACATAATTTTCCTTCCATTAAGGACTCCTCCCCATGTCTTTGACCGGCTCGTTCTCTCTTTGCGATACTGGTCTGTTTTCACGAAAATGTACATACAGTCTGCAGGTACATATGATCTCCATGGGCTTTCAATATATCCAAGCCAGGAAATTTTCCAAACTCGTCTATATTGCACTGTGTCAAGGAATCTTTCTCGCCGACAAGCAAATCACTCTTTTCCGTCCTCATTCCAAAACCTAAGAGAACAGTAGCACACTAATGCAGAAAATTGCATATCACATGGATGCAACTTTGACACATGCATCCCTCCACAATTCAAGTATGTTCATCTGTTCTCGTGGAAGAGCAAAGACCTCTGACATCAAGTTTAAGTTTGTAGACTCTCGGTATTAACGTGAAGTGAGACAAGGACATGCATAAGTCAGTTGACTAATGTTTACCTTATGAAAACTCTAATCAACACTCCAAAGTATTCTCACCTTAATGTACTTGCAATAGAGAAGTATCATATCATCGTCCATTATCATCGATACTTTACTCATGTACCACAACCCCGCGTCCTCCAATTGCCCTCTGATTATAATCACGCGGATATAATCTGTAGCACAACCTTATATAAAGCTTATCATTAAAAAAAAGCGATATAGACAAGACGAGATAAGAACGGAAGTTAATTTTGTGATAGGAATGGCGGTTTTGTATGTGCGGGGATCTCGTATCACTCAAGAATTGTACCTTTCTCCGCATCGCTAAGACTGTCAAAGTGCACGATGTCGCAATATCCCAGGTTTTCTAACTTTCGGTTTATGCATACGAGGTACTCTATCTATGTATATGAGGGGTAGGAACGTATTGACGTGCACAAATGCTTGTTCCCCTCAGAGGGATTCTCGCTTATCCCGTAGACGATGCAACAAAGTGACTTGCATTGAATGTGAAAAGATCTGTAAAGTATAGCTATCACTTGATCAGGTGAACTAAACCCCGCAGTTCTGTTTCTGCTAACACCTTTACGATTTGTAGATTGTGCATTGAAGCTCATCATTTCTTCCTAATATCACCAAGTCAATCCCTCGAGTTGAGATGAATTCTGAATTCAGACTAGCAATTGACAATTGTCTTCGCTCATACAGCAGCATTCAGTAGTTTTCACTAGACCAAGATTTCTAGCAGCACCAAGAACTCCTTAAATCTTGTCCTGAATTTCATTACCTGTCACCTGAGCATGGCTTCCACAGAAGCCACCAAATTGCCGTCAATGCCTCGAGCATGATTCGTTGGCGTCAATTATCTCCCTAAATCTATATCCTCGGAATAAACGCTTGGCAAGTTGGGATATTCCATTTTCTTTTGCCAATGAAGGCGGGCGAGGGGATATATAACTTAAATTGAACGTGCTGCTGTGGTTAAGAAGAGGAATTAAAATTGATGTCGTCTAACAGATTCATTTGGTGAATTGAATTGCCCCAGCAGGACTAATTCTCTTAACTCTAATTAAATAGCGTTTCAAGAAAGTAAATTGATAGAAAAATAAAACGATTGGACGTGAATATTCAGCATTAATAAATAATATATCAAATGAACAAATCGAGCAGGAATTGCGTATTCCATCACATACCTATCTGAAGTTTATTTCTGGGATATCTAACTTAGAGCAACCAAATTCACCAAATGAATTATGAACACGGTGTATTACTGAGTGTTAAATCTCGTGTGTTTACTTTCAATGCGAAACACACATATAAACTTTCAACACGAAGATAGAGTTCAGCACACGGGTTCACTTGAGCCGACGAAAACCATATGACAACAGAGGACCTGCATTCCACACAAGTGCTAAGCGGAAAACTCCTTAACTCCTATAATGACTTTGTCAAAGTATTACTCAATGCCGATATCACGAATCTTGAAATTTCAAGTGCCATTCACATCTCATGACTGGTCAAAATATATCGGAAGGCAACAGTCATGGTCAAGCACCAAACCCCAGATTATATTAGCGAAACTCTACTCTCACTCAGAGTCAAGACGGAAGCTAGAAAACTCTGAATGCTTTGACAAGTGTGATTCTCGAGTCAGGCTTTCGGTGTTAAATTTATTCTGAGAATATAAAAATAATAATGAAATATTCAATTGAATATTTTCATTCGTCCGGGCAATTATCATAAGTGTCAAACCGGCTTTTCTTCACTAACATTCGAATCAAACACAACCACGACTCTTCCAACGGCAAAAGGTTTTACAGAGTTCAATGACACGGGGTGCATGAGCATTTGAATACCTTTTCCCATACCTCCTGTCCAAACTCGACTCCTTGATTCCTCAACACATGACAGAAAATTGGCCAACCAATCAAAATATTCACAAACCAACATTCCATACTGTTGGAATATATTTTGAGTTTACACTTGAATTTATACACTCGCATGCATATTTCTTCTAGAATGAGGACATCACTTTTCAAATACCGATGTCTTTAGACATGTCGTATCTTGGCAAGCATCCCAACTCCAGTCTTGGTACATTGACATCATCGACTTTTGTATTCTTGTCTGTTGGAAGTTTTTCGACCCCGCAAAGCCCCCGAGCCGCAATATCAATCATGGTGGAATTGACAACCGTCGGACCGACACCCTCACCGGTATTCCTGTATGTTACAGCGTACAACGTACATTACCCCTGATGAACATGAGCTCCTCTTTTCTGCCCGTGAATGAGAGCCCATTAGTATGGCCATTACTAATCCCTCTTCTCATCTTGACACATTTCCATGCACACAATATGAGAGAAACTGCCAACTTCAAAACCATATTCGGTCGAATTTTTCGGTGAGCCCCACTTGAGGAATTTCGCCGCGAGACCGCAGCAGACAGCATTTCTCCTCTCAAGGCGAGGAAACTCCCGTTTTGGGTTTCGGTACATGCATGAGCGTTGCATGTGATATGTATCTATCTGTATGGCCGACAACCCTTTTGCACTGATTGCGCCCGGTCGTTTCCGAATTGCCCAAGTGGAGCGCATCAATAAGGTTACCACAGCGACCGAAAAAAGTTTATTGCCTTCTCAACAATGGAATTTTTGAAAAAAAAAGTCGTCTCATGTGACTTTTTTATTAAAAGGCCCAAACCCAATGTGCGGTTATGCTTCGGCTTGACTTTACTCCTTATGCATGCTGGTCTTGCATAGGCGGTGCACGCTAGTGACACAACACCACTAGAGCTATAGAGTAAAGCGTGTGACTTGCATGGCATGGAGGGGTAATTTTTTTCTATAAAGAATTCAGATAAGTGGGAATTCAAAAACCAATAAAGTCAATTGCCCTATCACGTCACCAGCAGTACAAATGATCAATGATGACGCTAAGCTAAACGTCTAGATCTCCTGAACTAAAAGATCTAAATTCTAGTTCCCGGCAAACCCAATGAAAAATCCCTCCAAAAGACAAGGAAGGAGAATATAGAAATCACGTTGAGAAAAAATGGAGAGGGGGTTGAGTTTGTGTGTACAAAAAATTGGAAAAGGAGATCCAGTTTACGAGAACTGGATAGTGGAGTGGTGGATTCCAATTGTCCGAAGCGAGTTTGAGAATTTGAGATCTGTGGAAAAATTGAGATGATCATCTGGAGAATTGGAGCTGATCGCTTGTTTCCAGCTGGGGAATTCCGGATTCTTGGGGCACCATCAATCTGACATTTGGAGACTCCAGTGATTAGGTCGTGGAAATACCAATGCGTGTGTGATATCAAAAATTGATGAAGGGTGATGAATGAGGAGGTCGATTTTATTTCTTTCACATCACACGCTGTCAGCCTTGTGTTACATATATGATTTTTGAAGCAATCCGAATGGATAGATTTACGATCGACTAAGCATTATGACCGTTGGTTACACACATCTATATTCTACCCGGTGGGCGAATAGTAACTAGGTCTCAGAAACGCCGATATGTAATATATTAAAGCAAAAATTTGAAAATTCTCATCCTCCTTCAATTTTACCGAGCATAGCAAAAAATACCCTGAATATCACCATCTCCACATCGTCTACACGTTAGTGACCTGCCTAATGCAACATCGCAAAAGGGATTGACCAATTTTCTACATTCTAGATTTTAAATATACATCTGCACGTTGGTTGGTTCGTGTACATGCATACCTAGACACACACACACACACACACACACACACACACACACACACATACCTACCGGTACAACTCCACTTTGTGGAAAAGTCTCAATTGTAAGCTCGTTCGTAAATAGTTACATGTTCGTTGGACATCGTTGTTGGCATATTCATCCACCTATTGTCCTCTCAACCGTTTTGCTGGCACACATACGAAGTTTCAGGGCTCTATTTAGTATCGACTGACCTTACATACCGTTGTCCTTACATCTGCATCTCCATCTACATTTCCAGCCCTACCAACACTTAAGCTATTAACCATGCATTCACCCTGTCCAACTCTTTTTTTTCTCTCGACGGTGTCGTCTCAGCGACTACTAAGTGGATCTTTTACCGCAGAAAAATGCAATGATTGAATAAAGACGATAATTAATAGGGCCGTGAAGAATAGGATTTTCATATTTGGTGTAATATTATTTATTTTTTCTATAATTGTTTGTGCTTACGAGTTAATGAGCTAGCCATGACGAGTCTATCCCCTATTTTTACATGAGGAAAACACAATGAATGGATAGGTATATTCATCAACTTCGTATCTGCTTCTTTGGTTCTAGTAACGGATGTCGCCGTTTCAGATGTTAGATCTAGGAACAAGATGTATTCTGTATGTACCAACCTGTATATTGAATAAGTTGAATTCCACATTTCGCTTCAAATGACTTCTCTGGCAAGGAAAAGGAAAGAATACCTAGACTTTTGTATAATTCCTTCTAGAACAAAAGAACAATTCATTCATTATGTACGGTCTATAATAGTGACGATTTGGAATCTTGGAACATACACTTAGTGTCAAAGCTATTACTGCATAAGTTTTCTTATGCTTGCATATCTAGGTGCTGATGTCGGTATTTAGCATTAGATTCGGCTTTTCGTTTTTATGCTAATCCATTCTCACCATCACGAATCTCAAATACTACTACCATCCGTGAATTCATGATGAGAGAAAGACCGTCCGCGGAAGAAAAGAGTTAGGTCAGAATAAGATTTGTAGATGTGAGATATAATGATGGTACCTACAGTTAGTTCTAAACTATATAATCTGGGTCAGAGTTTAATTTCTATACCGATTGTGTGGGATCGGGATTCCTTTTTGGTATGGGCATTCTCTACTTCATCAAATACAATACGGATACATTTAAATTGTGATGAAATAGAGTTTCCAGATGAAAATGTACATTTGTACACAAAGCAAAGCGAAAGACTGCAGCATACCAACAGTATCTTAAACTAGGACTTCAGAGCCTACAAACAAATGAATGGCAGGGGGCCGTCCCACTTCAACATCGTGAAAAACAGCGACAACAACTTCAACAAATTCAATTCGAAAAATAATAACCACCAAGAAATAATATCCACGCAATGAAAACCATTAATCCCCCTTCCAGAAATTAACTCAGGTCCCCCTTCTTCCTCTCCTCCTATCAATCAATCAATCAATCAATCCCATCTCAATTCTCCCTCCATCTTCATATGCACCACACCATCTTTTTCACACCATAAGCAAGCGCCCTCTTCCCTTCGCTCATAAGCGCGCCCGTTAATATATCATCACTAGGTACGGAGTATCTGTGAAAAGCAGCCCAACCAATCCTCCTTCACATTCTTACCAGCCATTACCTCACCACCTATCACCCATTTCTCCCCCGAATCCCCCAAAAAATTATCCAACCAATAAGAAAAATCAGAGTCCACCCGTCCCGCCACTTTTTGTATATATGTATATTCTAGATGGATATGTATCTGCCATCACATCTAGAATTTCACATCCTTCCTCCCATGAATTCCAGATCTTTCTTTCACCGCCGTTATGCATGCATGCACAACACATGTTTTTTTCTTGGAATATATTGAGGATCAGCTGTACATATACATACATAGGTAGCTGTCTTCAAGAATGGGCGCTGCACGGAGTAGCGAAGAAGAGTTGCGAGTAAATATAATGCAATTTAATATAATATTATTTCTTGCTCTCGGAATTAATAATTCATTTGTGGGTTCAAGTATTCATCGATCTCTTTATTCATCTATCCATCTATGCAAATAATTCTTCCGTATACACAAAAGAGAAGTATCGAGACAATACAGATTATTCCAAGCCCCCTCCCCCTCCCAAGCGAGGTTTTATCCCATCCCATTCTTAGGACGAGAGGAAATATAATATTGAAGAAACAAACAAACAAAAATCAAATTTATTTTAAACATTCTCCACGGGGCTGAGAAGTCAGAAACGACGAATAAATTAATCTTGGGGCTTTTTCCCTCACAGATAGAAATATATTCATATTTGTAAATAGAAATGATTTGTTTCGTGCGCTTGTAAGCTACGCGCCGTGTTGTTGGGATATGTGTATACATAGGTACAGACAGACAGCAGTGCTTACTTACTTGAACGTAGCGGTGTATACTATATTTAATTCAAGACAGACAGGTAGGCGTTTTATTTTCGGTCTGGGATATTCGGATTGTGCTGTTAGTGTTAGGATTATGAGATGTATCATTGATGTGTGTGTATAGGCCAAGTACAGAGGATGAGATGGAGGTAGCTATCCAGGGGAAAGGAGGGGCTTTGAAGTGGTAGAACAAACACATCTCGGACCTCAAGTTTCGTAATGGGCGGAGATAGGTTGGTAGGTAGATGGGGTGTGAGTGATAGGTAACCTTAGAATATATGTGTATATGTGTGGCACAAGGCAGATACAACTTATTTCATATCATTTCTACAGCATCAAGGCTGAATGAATAATACCTATCTACCTGGTAATGGTGGGGTGTATTACCGAACGTGGGGAAAGAAAAGGAGGTAGCGTTGCGCTGCATTGCGTGACATACTACAGCTTACCTTTCTCATCTTTCTTACCATCCATCTTTCCTATTCTCTCAAATCGCATATTATATACAGTTTATAATCCTGAAACATCTTCATATCACAAGCCATTCATCTTCGTTCCGAAATATCATTTGGATTTTTTGTATTACGTTTTAGCATAACTACCTAATATTCATATTCATATGATTACTCTAGTCTTGGCGGTGACATTGCGGAAGTAAGTGCCGTGTGATAAATACCTACCCCACGCCATCATCATCTTATCTCATCTCATCGTTCGTTTCATCGTTTCATTAGCTAAGCATTGTCTGTAACCTTTCTTACCTATTTATTTCTAAGAAATAGTAGGAGGTAGATATAAATAAATAATAAATAATGAATAATATTCATCACCACCTCATCGCATCAGATATTTAACCCCCAAGCTCAATCTCACACGATCAAAAACCACAATCCCCCCATCCCCCATCCCCATCCACAGATCCAAATATCTACCTAGGTAGTCAGCCCAGCAAAATCCTACCCGGCGAAGTAGGTAGGTGTAATGTAATGCGATCCAAACTCAGGGGTAACCAGGTCGCGTGGTTAACATT